ATATATATATATATATATATATGACGTCAATTGTATTATCTTTTCTGTTCATGGAGAAGTTTTTGTCTTTGCAGAATCTTCGCATTTGGCATAACACAAGAATTTGCTCAGTATTCGGTGGTTTTGGATGTCATACCATGTTCTAAATGTCGTTATTCTGCAGATGAAGTTTCGGATAAAATCCGAGCCATATTGCGCGAATGTGGTTTATTCCTAGATAGGATTGTTGCGGTTGTCTCTGACGGCACGGTGCTTATGCAGAAGGTGGCTGAAAGTCTTCAGAAACCATGGTAATTTTGCAACCCTTTTTTTTCTTTTGCAGCAAGTGTCTTTTAATTGTTTCAGGATACCATCTCTTACTCATCGCATTAATCTTATTTTAAATGAGGTATTGACTAAAGCCGATGGAATGAGAACGTTGCTGAAAACGTTAATTTTTAATGCAAAATTGATTAGCACTGACCTGGAACTACAAAAAAGTTTTGAAGACTTTCAAGGAGCTGGTACTTCAACATTATTTAATTTACAGAAGGTAAGGTTATTTTGTGAAGTTTTTATCGTTCCACGTGATTAATTTGTTGTATACTTTGAACGCACTTAAATGCTCTTTCTTTTAAGGATTTGTCATCGCGTTGGGATATCAAGCTTAATCTTCTACGTCTAATGAAGGCGAATTTTGATGCCGTAAATCATCTTGCCAGATCTTCAGAAAATAATTCTAGAAAGCCAGCTCGGCAAGTTCAGCACCTTAACGTTGGGGATTTACATCTCATGAATTTCGCTGTTGGGATTCTCACTTTGTTTGAGCAAGTTACGAAACATGTACGTTCCAATTTTTTCTTCTTGAAAACAATCTTATTTTATTTATTTATTATTTATTTTTTTATTTTTTCGTTTAGTAGGTGGTATATTTTTATTTAGCGCGGACCCTTCCTTTTGCTGTATGCTTTTGTTAACTTACAAATGTGGTGAACTTTAAATTATTTTAGTCCTAAACTTGATCGAGAAACTAGAATTTATTATAATGTACGTGATTTGTGTCTTTTCGCTTTGATGCCCGAGGTTTTGCAGACGTCGTCAGCTACGGAGACGGTCGCAAGTTACATTGCCGTGATTGTCAGTTTAAAATTAGCTGTAGATAAAATGTCACAAGGCACGCAGTCAGATAAAGCTGCAGAGGAATTTGCGAAATGCGCAAGCGATGAATTGTATAGCAAGTTCTTAAGTAGTTGTGATGAGAACAAGAAATCAGACGACATCATGAACAATTTTACGCTACTACAGGCTTTGTACTTCAGTCCGTTATACTGCAGAACAAATGTACTATCAGAAGAAAAATGGACCAGTTTGTTGACCAGAATTGAAGCCGCTGTTGTATCAAATGAAGCAAGAAAGGAGTCAGCTAATTCATCCGCAGCAGCTGAGGAGCCGGACGTTGATGGTTTGATTACATTTCTTTTTAATTGGGGTCATTCTTTGACGAAAACGGACGTGATTTTTACATCTTTTAGGAAAGTCTGAGATGGAGTCTTTGAAGAAGGAAACTGATGAGCACCCAAACAACTCTCTTGATTGCTTCCTGCAGTCCTTCTCCATCTATGAAGCTGATGGTATGTCGATGACAATGACCTCTGAGGAACGTATCCGTTGTCAAGTTAAGGTAAGATAGTCACTTATTTTTTTCATAATGGTTATTACTGATATAGTACTTTATTCAGAGTGAAATGGAAAGGTATTGGAATTATGTGGCGAAAGCAAACAAAGAGATTAGGAATATGCCACTTGCATTTTTCTGGGAAGAACATAGGAAAGAATTCCCTGCCCTAGCAGACTTCGCTCGTATTGCTTGCGCAGCTCCACTTGGTTCTGTTGATTGCCAGCGAGTTTTTAGCTCGTTGGCGAAACTTTTCAAGGAAAAAAATCGAAATGGAGCTCTTGACATGACGGTTCGGAATCTAGTGCTAGTGAATCAATGGCTTGCCGAGGATGTTTTAATAGATTATATTTTGGAGAACCCAACTAGTGATGAAAGTTTCCCATGTGCTTCAGATTTTGACTGGAACACTCAGGATTTTGATGTATAGACGGCATTTTGTAGGGTAGCTTTTTATTTTATTGTAGGTGGTTCGTTATTATGCCGTCAATAATATTCCATCCTCTTGCTTGTGATCTCAATTTTTTTTATACTTCTGTAGCTGTAAAAAACAGTTGATTAGAGCCTCCTTATAGTGACGGCCTTATACATAAATATATATAAGTAATATATTGATCATTTGAAACTGCTTGTTTATAATAAAGCAGCGGGTTGTAGAAGAGGTTTTAATTAGTCATATTTTGGAAATTCTATTTAGGGGCGTAATATTTTAGCATTTGGAAGGTGCAAATAACATTTTAAACAATTGATATTTAATACACAATAGTCATTAAGGGTGAGGAAAAATTTATTTGTTTGGAAAACTTGGTAGGGTACTACTACAGTTTACTTTTCATAGGCGGACTTTTAGCAGTATTTTATTATTAGTTACAGATTGTTTGTGATATAAGGCTTATAGAGTTCTGTAAGAAATTGCTTTTTGCATGGAACTTGGAAGATTAATTTATGTTTTTTTGCTGATGTATAATATTGTTTTTTTTCTTGTTGTTTGGTGCCAATGAATAGTTTATGTCAGTTTATACGGCGAAGTGATTCAAATTACGGTGGAAAGTACTTAAAAGTCCCAGTTTGTTCGGGACGGTTACTTCAGAAGAGTTGTGATGCTTTTTCATCTTCGGGTGACTTTTTTATGTGTTGGTGGTGTTCCGCCGTGGCCAGTTTACAAAGTAAGGCAACGGTATGTTGATTGCAGAAGTTAAGTTCCGTATCGATAGGCCTTAGTGTAAGACTGTAAGATTTATCGTAAATAAATCGTTTGAAACTGTTTTCGGAGCTCTGAGAGCTCATTGGCAATTTCACTGACACAGCGGAGTGCTTGGCATTCGCAGACGTCCTACTCGCACAGCTGGGTCCATCAACCCTGTCGTTTTTGGAAAATTCCAGGAGTGCTGTGAGGATGGAGGTCGGTTGAAGAAGTATTTGTAGGGGAAAACGCTTGGAAGTTTCGGAACGTACAGCAGTGCGGGGTTCTTTGTGAGGCTTGCCGAGATTTTTTGGAGAGTTGATTGGTGCTTGTATTATAGTTTGTTTTGAAGTTTACCGCGTTCTCTTTGGGACTGGTAGGATGAGCTGGGCTTTTCACAGCACAGCTAGTACCGGTAAGGGAAGGGAATTTAATGCTAGTTTAAAATTAAGTAAAAGGGTGTGATACTACACAGCAAAGAGCTCCTCAGGAATCTTCAAGCCTGAGAAGGAGATTTGGGTACAGATTTCTGGTTGTACCGTGTGCTTTTATGCGAGCTGGTTACTAGTGACTCCCGAAGGTCTCGTCCTCAAGGGTTATACTTGTGAACTTCAAACTTGCGGTTATCCTTCATCAGTGTGAGTCGGGACGCCTCAGTAACTAAGCTGCTTTTCTCAAGGCACTTCGCCATATATTCCCTTAGTAACCGATTTTTACGAAATTATGATGAAAAGATTAGAAAATTATCCAGTTGCCTGTCCTTAAAAAATTTAGAACCAAACAAAGACACAAACAGCTTAAGTGTGATCAAACTTACATGAAAAGCTGGGGACAAAAGAAACAAAAAATGTTTTCGTGTCTGCATCGCCGACATGACAGTAGGCGAAAAGCAGCTTGAAGGGTTAAAATAGGACTTATTTGAAGGTGTCTCAAGCAAAACAATCTTAAGCACACATAAGTTTCGACTACTAAGGCGTTTTAACTGTAAGATTATTTGGTGCCAAAACGAAAAGGAAAATTGGCGTCGTTGAGGGAAGTGAAAGTTCGATGGCCTTAGTTAGGTATATTGGTGGCGGCGGTTAAGGGTGTATAGCAAATGTAAGCATTGCATAGAGCGAGCCAGATAAAAACTAGAGTTTGAAGATGATAGGCCGTAAACGGACGATTTTTACGTAGAAAACCAAAAACCTTAAAAAATTGGGTAGCTTTAGAGACTGTTGGTTTCGGGGCCAATGAACTTCACGACAAAAAATGGGAGAGGAGGTATTGCTAGATGACGGGACCTTATCGCCAAAAAACTGCTCGTGATGTAATTTTTTGAGGCAATGTGAGCAGATTGGTTATGATATCTAATCCAGACCTGTACTGGTTTTCCAATTTATACATTTTCTTATCCTTGCTTTTGATTTATTTCGAAAAATGGCACAATTAAAAAAAAAACTTGCGGAAACAAGTCTGCTCGACTGTCTTCAGTTTCAAGTGACTGAAATACACCAATAAAAGGTAAAAAGTTATAGCTTAGCAGCAAATAGCATTTTTTAAATGTTACCGAAAACATGAGACAGTTTTTGGAAAAATGCTTGTTGGAATAAACTTTCACAATTTGCACCCCACATCAGAAAGGTGTAAAGAAGCTGTTATACTTTTTTTACACAGAAAAGCATGCGGTTTGCAGTTCTGATGATCTATCGAATAGCGATTGCTGTAACAGTTGAATGGGCTGTAATATAAATACCTTTTAGTACTTTTTCACTACACCTCACTGGTTTAGATTTTAGAAGGAGTAGAACAGAATACGATATTGGCTTCTTTTGGCAAATTTCTTCTTACAAAAAGTGCAGTAAAATATTTCAATCAGTTTATTTTTATGATTTACCTGAATCTAAACATTTACTGCAAGGACAGTTGATAATTTCCAGTTGGTTGTTAATCGTTTGCAAATACTCTTGTTTTGTTTGCAACGAGTGAAACTTTAAAGTTTGCTAAACATTTATAAAGTAAATTTTTGAAAAGTAAAATTGAAATGCAGCTTCACTTTTAGGAAAATTATACTGTTGATGTTTAGAGATGAATTTTACATATTTTATGCGGCAAAGCTTGCTATAAAAACTAGCAAAAAAGTTTTTGGTGAAAATTTTTGTGAGGCTCAGAAAAATTAAATACATGTCCTATCTCTAAACAGTATTTTTGGTTTGCAGGAAAAAATATATAGGCATACAAAAGTATCTGCTTTTATATATTAGTAAATAGTTAATCCATCAAACAGATTCGTTAATAAAGTGTGAAGAAACAAAAAAACTACAGTTTTTTTGGTTGAATTGTGTTTTGAACCAGTCAAACATTACCAAAATTCAGTTGCCCAATTGTACCGCAGCTTATTTCGAAGGCTATGAAAAGCTGTATCTCTGTGCCCAGAAAAACTTCTGAAATAACAGAATGAAACTTCTATATTTTAAAGGTTGATAAACGCTTCAAGTAAAGTGTTCTGCTACTCATGAATCTGTTCAGTGAAGCTCTGTGTCATCGACATTCTGGTCAGTTTTGGTTCAGTCGTGGATCATCAATGTGGGGTGGTGTAAAGAAGACAAACTATATAAGAACCTTTTTGATTTTACATATACGTATTTGTAAATACACTCTGTTTTCATATTCGCTTATTAACATCTTTTTACTTCTTAATATTTTTTCGCTAACAAAGCTAATTTTTTTTACCTGCTGATTCATACTCGGGTACTACAAAGCGCTAAATTTTTTTCTCGGATACAGTGGCATATTTGTGGTCATTGGTTGTCGTTTATCAGTTGGTTATGTCGTATCCAATAGTTACAGTTAGCTGTTTCGTATTCATTCCTAAAACATTAGAGATATTTGAAAGTTCAAATTTGATAGATGCTTTTTGGTAGAGCAGTTTAGATAGTGTTACCAATATAAAAACTATTTAAGGAATAAGAATTAAAAAATGACTAACATACCCTTTAGTTTAGTGTAATTATTTGTTCTGCCGTATTTTGAAGTCTTTCTTTTTTTTTTTTTTTTTTT